AAGCGTGTGTGAGTTTCGGGATGCGGAGGATGCTGTACGAGTGTCTGTGCCCGTCGCAGAGCCGAGGGTCAGCTTGTCTTCGCTGTCCGTAAGGGTGCCGGGTCTCTTGGTGCTGGACTTCCCGCAGCAACAGTCGAATCGAAGAGCTGGATGCTAACTTGAAATTCTTGAACAGTATCAGGGAGCTAAAGATGGAGAAAACGGAAATTCCTCCTGAATTAGAGTCTGTAGTGAAGCGATGACAACCTCCTTCCTGGGCTGCGTGCTCTCCTGCTCTTTCTCAGGACAGTTACTCACAGCCTGCTTTTGCTCACTTGGAGAGTCTAATGAGCTATAAAAGGATGTTTGTCCAATTCATCTTCATCTGAATGCCTTCTCCTGGCCCAGGTGTCGGTTTGACTTAGGAATGCTTAATTTGATAACCTGAGAATTAGTTCAGCCCGTTTCCAAACGAGAATTCCCATCACTGCGGCTTTTTGCCTGTTTGCTCTCTAGCAATAAGGAGTCTTCTTCAGGAGACGCTCTGCTAGACGCTTCCGTAAGAAAACAACGTCAAAAGCCATTTCTTGGTGAATGTGCTCTGACTCCCTGGTTACACCTGGCGCCAGGCAGCAGAGCCCTGGCAGTGGGTGCTGCCGCAGGGCTGACTTCCCCGGGCGTGCAGAGGGAAAGGCAGCAGCAAACGGCCTGATGAGGAGTTATGGGTGTTACCCAACACCTTCTGCCAGCCAGCAGGAAGTATTTTTCATCGGGTGGTCTTCTGAAGCGAACACCTAGGGAAGGCGTCATCTGTTTAAACAGAACCTTATTGTGCCAATTTGTTATTGTACCGTCAAGGCTCCGGAATACGACAGGAATCTGTTACTGGAATGAGCCATGGTGCTGGCTGCAGAGTTAAATTTATCTCAATTAAAGTTAGCGTTCTTTGCTACAAGAACATCACAAAAATAAATTTGCTCAGTTGAGAGGAGGAATTTTGTTTTACGTTCAGCTTGACGCTGGGATTCCAGCTCACCGGGTGCATTGTGTGTGGAGCGTTTTCGACCTTTCCGGGCCCCGCTTTACCCGTCAGTAAAATCGTTATTTCTTACCCGTGTCAGGACTTTACGAGAAGAATTTTCTTTGCAAAATATTTTCAGATACTTGAATGGGTTACTCTTAAAAAACGCAGAGTGTTAACGCGTGCGCAAACAGGTGAGTGTGTGAGATGCTGCAGCGTTGGGATGGCACGTCCCTGGTTCCGCCCGTAATCCTGTAACGAACCGAAGCCTAGCGGAGCGCAGGTCGGTCTCTGACCGTACAAGCTGTCTTGCAAAGCCTCTGAATGCATTCCGTAGGCATCCGAAAGCCGTGCGAGGAGAAGCTCCTGCAGCCACCTCTCGCCCCTCTCCTCCTGAAGTTTCTGACAGAGGTGGCTTTTTTTTTTTTTTCTGGTATTTTCCTGCTCCTAATTAGAAACCACAGCTTATCTCAAGAGTTCTTTACCAGACAGAAGGTTCTTGAATGCGCTCTCCTGGGTTCCCCAGCACACCCCGCTGTCCCCTCCTGGCTGCTGTCCCCTCCTCGGGGGATGCTGCCTGATCTGCGCCAGCGTCACAGGGGAGCATGCTGGAGCCTCCTCCCCTGTGAGGCAGATGTCCGTTATAATGAAATGTAAAAAAAAAAGGAAGGGGGGGAATAATAAAGGCAGAGGAGTGTAATGTTACGGCTTGATTTGACAGGACCTCCTGCTGCTGCAGCTGCCAGTACCAGCCATGGAATAGATTAATCTGTATTCCAACACGCCGCAGCTGAAGTCAAGATCGATCTAATTAGGGTGTTTTAAACACTGCTTGCGTTCTGAAGGCTTCACGCCTGTCTGGAGAGGGAAGGGCTCCCTAGAGCCGAGGTGATCCGGGTCCGAGGGGGACTCGAGCAGCCGGGTGAGCACACAGGATGTGACCTGCCTGGGACCGGGGACACGGCCGGCACGGCACCGCAGTGTCGGCAGCCCAGCGAGGAGCAGCACGTGCTGGGGGACCGGCCGATGGGGCAGAAAACGGGGTTAGCTGCTAACAGGAAAGGTGCCTCTGTCTTCCCATATCCACGACTTTGGGAGATTTTGGGATGTTGGCGTGAGAAAAAGTTGTTCTTGGTGCACACTAGCTGCCAGCTGGTAACCGTCATCCCTGTAACGGGATCTGGGGCGTGCTGAGCACAGCTCCTTGCGGTGTTTGCTCCTCAGAGGAGGTGATGCATTTAGTGGTTTGTAGAAATCGGGGCTCGGCAGCAACTTCTGCCGCTGGCCTTGTCTGTTGCCCTCCTTGAAGATGACTCTGTGCGGGTGATGGGGGCTTTGGCTGAGCACTGCGGGGTTATTGAGAAGTTCCCAGAATATTCTGAGGCAGGCGGCTGCCCGCGGCGCCCCCCGAGGGGGACGTGCAGCTTGTGGCCTCTGTCAGCCGAGATCAAAGCCCGGCAGCTGCGGGTTTTGCTTTCTGAGGACTCGGAACAGCACCCAGCTGTTTCCCAAAGAAGATCCAACCAGAGCAAATACTGTGATTGTGGGCTCTTAGAACTGTGCATACGTGGTGCAGCCCAGGGGAAAACAGGGAGCTGATCAAGAAAAGGGTGTAGATAGTCTGGGAATATTTCTGTATGATATTTTTTGAACATGTTGACCAGTCAACTAGATAGTTCCTGGATTTTCTGCAGTGATGTGTTGAAAGAATAACCTCATTCTTAAAAACCCTGTGTCAGCTGCTTCAGACTTCTCAGTAGTTCTAAAGATTTTATTGATGAAATGGATAAATATCTGCATATGAGCATCAAAGCAAAAGTGAGGGCTAAAATACATTCCCTAGTAAAGGAGTATTCAGAAAAAGCAATGAAGAGATATCGTTGGTGAGAATACTACTGCTAAAACACTGTGTCAACACTCCTCAACACTTCCAAAAAAAGAAGGTTTGTGAAAAAATAGTGTGAAATACAGAATGCTGCCTTCTTTCATTAACAGCAGAGCATCTGCTGGGATAAATTGAAAAAAAAGTCTTCATTTTTGTAGTATTTTTTTTCCACCTTAGGGAAATAGGATCTGGCAAGGACTTTGGAGGCTTTTGCAGTATTTTTTAATGTAGACACTTAATTTGGTGTCACTTTTTGGGGAATAACCGCTTCTCCGCAGCGAGAGCATGCACGGACGTCCCCAGAGCCATCCTTCACCCCCGCGTTATCCTGTCGAAATGACAGAGCAGCCGCGCGGCGCTGGCCACCCGATAAACCTGTTATCTCCCCCGCTCCTCCTGCCAGCCGCGCTCCCAATCGCTTTGGAACAGGAAAAATTGACACCACCTCGGGCAGAAATCTGTTTCTAAGGAAGCGACATTTGTAAGTAGCTGATGCAGCGGGGCGTGCGCGGGTGCAGCCTCCTCTGCCTGCTGCCCTCGTGCAGATACCCGGTGCTGCAGAGGGGCCGGTGCCGCTCGGACAGCAGCCTGCGTGTCGTCGCCTTCCCGTGGAAGCAGAAGCTGGCGGCTGGCGCAGAAGCTCCCTGCGAGCACGTCGGTGTCACTTGTTCTTTGTACACTGGTGCAATCGATCAAGGCGCCTCATGGCTCCAGGCTACACAGCGCCGTGGAAATGCGTGTTAGAGTGGTTTGATGGCAATAAGGTGGTGATCCCTTTCCTCTGCGAAAATAACAAATCCTGATTTTCCTCTCCCCCCCGCCGTGGGGAAGGAAATGTGTATGGCCGTGACTGCTCGTGTGTCTTTACCAGCAAGATCCAAGTGAGGACATCTTGGGGAAGTTGCAGTCTTGAATATGTTGGGATATCTCAAACATAAGGTCTGTGCTTATGCAGACACGTGGGCAGGAAGCAATCCCAAACGATTTGGCAAAGGGAGAGAAAGTCGTGCCTCTCCTTTGCTTTGTGCCTTTGTGCTTGGGTTTATTTCCCCACATTAAACCAGATACTCTCTGATGCTGCCAACATCCTTCCCAGAGTTGGCGGACATTTCACAAATTATTTCCATCTCTCTGTTCCGGGGCAGGAGCGGTACCAGGGCTGCCAGCGAGTGCGGTGTGTGGCCGCTCCGCTTCCCTTTCACCAGCAAAGGCAGGCGGGCGCCGTCCCTGGGCTCTGTCCCGAGTTGGTTCCTCCTCCCAGAAACAGCTCATGGGCCAAAGGGGTGGTCAGCG